ATGGCTGTCATGCATTCCTCTAAAAAAACTTAACTTAGATCTTTCTCCACTGGAGTTCAGAGATGCTCTTGCATTAAGATATGGGAAAACTCCTATACACCTCCACTCTTCATGTGATGGCTGTGGCAAAAACTTCAATATGGAACATCCCCTTAAATGTTGTACAGGTGGTTTGATAATAAGAAGACATAATGAGGTAAGGGATACCCTTGGAAGCTTGATGGAGCTAGCATGGGGAAACTGTGTTCGAGAACCAATGATCTCTGAGCAAGGGTCATTTGATACTGCAGCACTAAAAGCAGACTTGGCTTGTAGGGGTGTATGGGAGGTTCAGACGGAAGCATTATTCGATGTACGTGTCGTTGACACTGATGCTCCATCGTACTTGAACCTCCCATACAAAAAAGTGTTGGAGAATGCAGAAAGAGAGAAGAGCAAATAATATTTAACAATAACAGAAACCAGAAATGCATCTTCTACCCCACTAGTCACGTCTGTGGACGTAATGCTGGGCAAAGAGTTTCAGACCTTGCTCAGAGCAATGGCAGAACGCCTAACAGAAAAATGGAAGAAACCTTTTTGTGCGACGTTAAGGGCCAGCAGCATGTGTCTAAGGAGGACAAGGAAGAAGTGGAGGACCCTTGAAGATGGGGCTGGAGTACCAGTTATTTATTAATTTAAATAGCAAATGTTTTATTATTTTTCCATATCAAAATTGTGAATTATATTATTTAGTATTAAAAAAAAAAATACAGATGACTTAAATTAATTGATATATTTACATTCTTTCAAAATGTAAACATGGAAAATTTGGAAGGCCATGGGGCGTAGCCCAAGGGAAATGTGAAATTAAATGATATAATATTGCACTAGCTGTACCCGCGGGCTTTGCCCCGTTTAACTTCTTAATTTTCAAGATGAGCTCGTTCGCATGGCTCAATTACGTGTTGTTTGAAGTTCGTTCTCTACGCTCACTCACCTTTAGGTTGGAGCTAGTTCGCTGCGCTCACTTGCCTTCAGGTTAGCTCGTTCGCTACGCTAACTCGCCTCCAGGTTAAAGTTCGTTCGCTACGCTCACTCACCTTTTGATTGCAAATTAGCTGTTGTCATAAATAAAAAAAAAACAATAGTGCTGCACCCTGTTGGTAATCCTTGTAACTTTAATGCTATTGAACATCATAGAACAGAACCAACTTGTTTAATTGAAACAGCTGATAAGATTCATTAATTCCTTTTAAATATGAAAAATCATAAGGTTAACATGGGAAACTCCAGAGCCACTGGGGCGGAGCCCGAGGGTCCGATCAGAATAAAAACAACTTAGTTTTCCTATTTAATACCTAAAGAATCGGTGTGCCAAATTTCAGCCTCCTAGGTAAATGGGAAGTGGGAGAATTAGTGATGAGTGAGTGAGTGAGTGTGTCAGTGAGGGCTTTGCCTTTTATAAGTATAGATTTGTCATCCATTTGGGGAGCTATGTTTCAAATTTAAAGTCTCTAGCTCATCGGGAACTTTGTTTAAAATTAATATCAAAATTTATAGGAAAGCGACTACCGAGCTAATAAAAACAAGCCCATGCCCATGGGGCGTAGCACAAGGGAAATATGAAAATTAAATAATATTGCATTGTCATCCATTTGTGAGCTATGTTTCAAGTTTCAAGTCTCTATAGCTCATTGGGAACTTAGTATAAAATTGATTGCAAAATTTGTACCAGACAAGAAAGCGAGCTAATAAAAAGGTTTTAATATATAATTCTGAGCAATTTACAGACAAAACTCTAATTTTATTTATGAACATTTATTGTTTGTTTGTTTACTCTATTACTGAATTATTAATTATAATTATGAATCTTTGATTCTCAATTCAATTCTCATTACTGTATAGATGTTTGCATTACCACAAAGTTATTGGTTTTTGTTCTGTCACACTGTTCAATGCAAACACAAGGTTGCCTGCATATTCCAACCATGGTAAGTGTGTGTAACTTATTCAGTTATAGGCTAGTTTGACTAGCCAGAAAACCGGGCTGACACTAACAATGACAGGTTTTTTTCTTTCCTGACCCTATTTTCACAAGGTCAGTTTGTGTGATGTATTTTCCAGGGTGGCTATTTCAGTGACATCCATATCCATGTTAATCAGACACAAGAACTAACACTGAAAATCTTCAAAAATATTGTTCAAAATGGTTCTTTGTGCTGGAAATATATAAACACCTTACCTACCCTATGTTAAAAAAATCTAAAATCTTATAACTCATTGAGCGAAGCTCTTATACGTCGACTCTTATGCATTTCTTAATATGCAATCTCCTCCTAGACGGCTGAAGTAATCATTTTCAAATTTTGCATGGTGATAAAGACCATATATCGGTGAGTGCTAACAACTATATGGCGTTAAAAAAACTCTCTAAGGAATCCCCCCCACTGGCTCTAAAAATTTGTATGTAATCTTTATGGACGCAGTATTTGACACAAAAACAAAGACACAAGATCAGCTGTTGACTTATTAAAGGACTTAACTGAAACGGCTACTTTAAAAAAGGTCGTAGGTAAAAGGAATTACTGTAACTGTTATCACCGATATTAGAACAGAACCGGTATGGTTCATAAACATAAAAAATGATGTCACTAGCTTTTTATTATAATAATAGTTGTTTTATTACAAATCCAGTTATTTTATTATAATAAACCTTTCAATTGGAAGTCAACTATACTTTTATACTAAATAAATTGTTGTTAATTTAATTCCCTCATCAGTAGATTGAAATATATATAAAAATAGTCACACAAAATGTCAATATCAAGCAGCTGATTCTAATCCTACCTGGTGTTTTCTAGTTATGTTTAATTTTTTTACTCCTATTATGGATACTATAATAAAAAGTGTTCCAATAGTTACATGAATAACGAAACCCGGTTCTTATAAAAAAAAAGTTGACCCATAAATTGAACTAGGTATATGTTGCTTGAAATCGAGCAATCGCAAAGAAGTACATAAAGGAGTTATTTAAAAACAAATAACTTGTTTAAGAACAAATATAATTTATAAATTCCGATGAGTCTAAAAGAGTCAACTCAAAGATTACGTAACTAATGATAATACTCACAATGTAACTTACCAGTTCAACATAATCAACATTTCTTGTAAATATTTTATCATGTTTCAAAAGCTGATCTGGCTTTAGCATGGTGGAAGGAAAAAAACCTAGGTGTGCTATTACCGTCATATTCTGATGTCACTTGGATTGCAAACAAAAGATCACCTGATTATAACTGTCAAATTAGTATATGTATTTGTTTTGATTTGGTTGTTATTGTTTTTATAATGTATGTTTTTTATAAAAAAAACATTAACAATCAAATTAAAACAATTACATACTAATTTGACAGTTACAATCAGGTGATCTTTTGTTTGCAATCCAAGCGAGTCAGAATATGACGGGAATAGCACACCTATGTTTTTTCCTTCCACCATAGGCTTTTAGTGTGTTGTAGAAAATGTTTCCCACTTATAGCCACAATAGGTTGTCCATGTTGGTCTTTGTCAATGATAATGTAGTTTGCGTGGTATCACCCATTGTCGCCAGTACGTTTACAAATTTCAGTCTTTATTTTAATAGCACCAAATAACCATTAACTACCTGATTTTCTGCATAACCTCTCTGTCACAATTTTACAATTAACATATGTTCTTCTTCTCACTTTAAATTTCTGACAACAGCTGGAGTTTCATAACAATATTTGTTTCCCATGTTAATCTTATGGAGAAATACGAAACTTTAAAGGGCCCCAGGTCCTCACTCTCTAATTATTTCCCTAAAAAGAAAGTTTCTTGCACAACTTCACGTTATGCTCTTTCCAATGACACCAAAAACATGTCAATCGGTTCAGTAATTTCGGAGAAGTAATTGTCACAAAAACCTGCTTGCGTACCTATTTAATAAGTATAGATACAAAATTAGGTACATCAATCTCCTTAAAACCAAATCACAAATCCTTCAATCACTCAAAAGTCACAATAAATCATTAATAAAAACACAAACATAAGCTGTTATAAACTTTAGAATATTGCTATGCCTTTTTAATAGTGTGTCATCAAAATATATAAAAAAACAACATTTCATTTCATATAATTTTATTCATTTCAGTACATCAATACAGGAATAGCGATCTATACTATATAAAGTTGGAAATGATTAATTTACCAAGTATCGAAATATAAGAAGGTTTCTACTGACTTATACAATCCCCGCCCATAGAACAGGCACCCTGCTAGTTAAATATCAAGATATCTCTTTTTACCCAAGACAAGGTCAGTTAGTGAAAGTAATCATTTTAACAAAGATAATAATAGTTATTTGTGCAACTAGTGAGCAAAGTGATAAATTGACTCACTCGAGAGAAATACTTACTCACGAGCCGTAGGCGAGTGAGGAATGTTTTCTCGAGTGAGGCAATTGCACTTTGCACTCGAGCTGCACATTATATTTTTCCTACAGTTACCATAAAACAAATAAATTGGTAAAGAAACGTAACATATTTTTACACAGAAGTGAACTTTTAATATGACATTTAATGATACAACAGTAAAACAGCTGACCAGCTGATTTACAGCCAGTGCTGCCAACGTATTTCGCGCACATACGACCTTGTCTGCATGTTACGCGCTCACTATTTTGTGCCTTCACGTTGCAAATCTGGAGTGAGACAAAGTAATTAGAGTGAGACAATGTTAACATTGTCTCACTGATGAGCGAATTGGCCACTTTGCTTTCTCAAATCAGTGAGAGAACATGTACATTGTTAGGTAACTGTAGGAAAACAGTATTTTTTTACCAGACAGAAGTACAAACAAATATTAAAAATGTAAGAAAACATCTCCATAAAAACAATAAAATTATCTTAATTCAATAATCTAAATGAGAAAAAAATTTAAATACTGACGTTTAAAATAAATGTTAAACTAATCAACATAATGGATCTAAACTGATTTGTCTCCACTTCTTCAGCCTCCTCTCCCCAACCTCCATGCCTCCATCGCCATCCACCCTGTCATCAGGCCTGGATATAACAGAACAAAAATTAATATTAAAAACAGTATTCTGAACAGAACAAGAATCTTTTTATGCATACTTCTATCATTATTTAATGTACTCAGTGGCGTACTGAGGGGGGGGGTTTGCACCAGGCCCCACACCAACATAGGCCTCCAAATCAGGGCCGTATTCCCCTAACGGTGGACACTGCGATTGCCAAGGGCTTCGGCCTGGGAAGGGGACTCACTTGGGGCCTCAAAAGAATGCTTTTTCTCTTGGAAAATTTTCCCACAATCTGTTAGAATTAGGGGGTACAATAATCCAAGTTTGTCTTGTATTCTCATGATAGCCGAAAGCATCTGCAAAGATTGCGTGATCGAAATTTACGACTACCCGCCTACATTTCCTAAAAAACAAAAGCAAATTTTTGGGCACATCTCCAGTTAAAATGCTGGTTAAATACTAGTAATTCAGGAGGGTTATGCGACATAGGCTTGGGGACACGGCCCTGGATTTATAAGTATTAAATTTAAGTAAATGGCAAAACTTACCATTAGTTAGTTCTCTTCAATCTTAGTCTTTACTTCGCCCCATCCTCCATCTCCTCTTCCTCTGACACCTCTCCCCTGTATTCTCCAATGTCGGAGGATATTAATTACAACGCCCCCATTTTACTGGTAGGCTTCAGTTCTGTACAGAAATATTGCAAAAAATAGTGTTATACAAATACTTTGAGTCCAACAAATAATACAAGTCTGTACACTCCTTTCTATATTTGTGATATTCAAATAGGTACAGCTAATAGGGAAATGTTTGAGCAAATCTGGGTCAAGTTAGTACAAATATTATAATTTGTAACAATAATTTGGTTTAGACAAAATAAATTGGTTTAACACGTTCGCTACCACAATTATATAAAATTTACGTTCGCATAGACCAGCGACGCAATTGTGCGTCGACTCGTTTCTCACAATAGACCACCGACGCATATTTGCGTCAGCTGATCATATTGAAATAGACTAACGACACACACTTGCGTCGGTGTTCAATGTTATTAATCAGCGTATTTCTTAGCAACGGTCTATTTTAAAGCCCTGATTTTATCGTATCAGTCTAGAGGGATATCTGCCGCGAATGTGCGTCGCTTGGTCTGTGGATATGACGATTGGTTACGTCACACAACAGTTGGCAACATTGTTGTTTACATTGTGCATTCCGCGACATCTCAGAACAGATGTAAACGTTATAACCTTTGCAGTTTTGGCGAGTGTTTGGAGTTTCTTTCTTTGTTTGAGTAAAAGCTTGAAACAACCAAATTTACAACGACGCTTAAACGTGCGTCACCTGGTCTATTGAAACGAAAATGTAGGTAATCTTTTTATCTGGATTTTATTAAATAGACTGATCGACGCATATATGCGGCGTTTTAAAATTTGCTCAAAACGATAAATAAAAACAATATTTATTGCTTACTAATTCACTTAAGGTCAATATGAAGTCAATTAGTTCATTTAAACGATATTTCTCTTTTGGTCTGTTGGCAATGTTATTCCTATATCACTTGGTCTGTAAGCAACGTCATGATCATTCCTTTTGGTCTGTAGGAGTGACCGGACCGACGCATACGAGCGTCGCTCGGTAGCGAACGTGTTCAACATTAATTCTTTGTTATTTCCCAATTTGCAAAAATGCAAGCTCTAGCCTAATTAAGACATTTCCAAACAACATGTTTCGAGATGTAATCCAAATGCATTTTAAGTAGGGGCCTAGTTTTGAATGTTTATAAAAAAACTATAAATTTGCATAAAGATTAATTATCCTTATGTTCCACCAAAAACTATTAATAATAGTTTATTTGTGTAGGTAACTAGTGGGCGAAGTGGCACTTTGCTACACATGAGAGAAATGTTTACGCACGAGCCGTAGGCGAGTGTGGAAAGTTTGTCGAGTGCAGCAATGGCAGTTTGCACTTGTGTTACACATTATATTTACCCTACAGTTACCATAAAACATATAAATAATTAGTTGTTCAAACTCTGTTCAACACAAAATGCAAATGATTCAGTTTGGATCAGTGTCTATGGTTGTCGATAATATGGAACCCACCCAAATATGGACAGTAGGCCTAGGACATAAAAATGTTCTTTCCATTTATGATAATCCAACCTAACATAACCGCCACAAAGCGCTGTATAGCCTATCTGTAGCCTCCGGATAACACTTACCAAAGTACCGATTTGAACTTTGAATAACTTAGTTAACAAACATAGCCTAGAATCTATCACAAAGGGGAAAGAATGTTGACTCACCTCACTTAAGTTATGGTTAGACCAAGGAACATTATCACGGCAGTATGGTAATTGCCTACAGTGTCCACAACTCTGGTCTCTCTTTCTCTCTCATCTGCTGTGATGTCGATGGCAATGTCGTCCAGAAAGGTTAGTCCTCTTAACTTATTGGTTCAAGACAATATTTAAAATAGAGACCAATTTGGGTTCAGGTCAAATTACAGCCTTTGCTCCAGGATCATCTATAAAATTAACATTGATGTCATCAGCAATGAATGATATAATCCAAGTCTAGTCTTACACCAAATACAAACAGCTCTAGAATATTTTACAGCACTTAAGTTTACGTCCTACACTCATTCCAATGAATATATTTCTTTAATACTTTCTTTCTTATTACTTGGCGACCATACAAAGTAGGTATTTTAAGCCAAGTACGAATGGAAATGAGTGTAGGATCAGGATGAGTGGCGCGATCTTGTAGTCTTGTTAGTGCAGGGTGTCTACCAGATTTCTCAAATGGAATTCCCGACTTTTTCCCGACTTTTCATTACCATTTTTATATAAATCCCGACCAAAAACTCGGTCCATTCTCCATGTTACTACACCTTTTTCCGTCTCGCGGTCACGGTACCTTCGTCAACATATGTTGTCACTTACGACCCAGCAAAATCACTGACGATCGAAACGTATCACATGCCAAGAAAATCCCGTATTAAATGTAGGTGTGTGTGAAGCAGCAAAACATTTCAACTCAAAGCAACGATTTGATTTTAAAAAATGTTGATGTAACTCGATTCGAAGCAACATGGAATTTTTATATTCATACTTCTCAGTGGAGTGAAATATCTGTTTTCAATCATACATTAGAAGAACCAGTATTTCTGGAAATATCAGTGAGCTTCTTGCCTATTTCATAATTTTTACTTGCAGCATCATGTTGTTAAGTATGTTACCTATTTTATTTTATTCATTTTATAAATTAAGATATGTTTGGGTGTAAACAAATAAAAACCTTTGTAAGATTTAAATACTGAATCTTTCAATTGGTTTACATTGATAAAATAAGAGGATAGAATCAGAACTACAAGGTATACATAACTTCTTGTATGGCGAAGCAATGTCTCAGTGTATGCCATGTACTTGGATGGCAATAACCTGTATGGCTAAGCAATGTCTCAGTGTATGCCATGCACTTGGATGGCAATAACCTGTATGGTCAAGCAATGTCTCAGTGTATGCCATGTACTTGGATGGCAATAACCTGTATGGTCAAGCAATGTCTCAGTGTATGCCATGCACTTGGATGGCAATAACCTGTATGGTCAAGCAATGTCTCAGTGTATGCCATGTACTTGGATGGCAATAACCTGTATGGTCAAGCAATGTCTCAGTGTATACCATGCACTTGGATGGCAATAACCTGTATGGTCAAGCAATGTCTCAGTGTATGCCATGTACTTGGATGGCAATAACCTGTATGGTCAAGCAATGTCTCAGTGTATGACATGTACTTGGATGGCAATAACCTGTATGGCTAAGCAATGTCTCAGTGTATGCCATGCACTTGGATGGCAATAACCTGTATGGTCAAGCAATGTCTCAGTGTATGCCATGTACTTGGATGGCAATAACCTGTATGGTCAAGCAATGTCTCAGTGTATGCCATGTACTTGGATGGCAATAACCTGTATGGCTAAGCAATGTCTCAGTGTATGCCATGTACTTGGATGGTAATAACTTGTATGGCTAAGCAATGTCTCAGTGTATGCCATGTACTTGGATGGTAATAACTTGTATGGCTAAGCAATGTCTCTGTGTATGCCATGTACTTGGATGGTAATAACTTGTATGGCTAAGCAATGTCTCAGTGTATGCCATGTACTTGGATGGTAATAACTTGTATGGCTAAGCAATGTCTCAGTGTATGCCATGTACTTGGATGGTAATAACTTGTATGGCTAAGCAATGTCTCTGTGTATGCCATGTACTTGGATGGTAATAACTTGTATGGCTAAGCAATGTCTCAGTGTATGCCATGTACTTGGATGGTAATAACTTGTATGGCTAAGCAATGTCTCAGTGTATGCCATGTACTTGGATGGCAATAACCTGTATGGCTAAGCAATGTCTCAGTGTATGCCATGTACTTGGATGGCAATAACCTGTATGGCTAAGCAATGTCTCAGTGTATGCCATGTACTTGGATGGTAATAACTTGTATGGCTAAGCAATGTCTCATCTCAATGAATAGCTTATATAATTAATGTCAATCATTTGAATAATGTCAATAAGTTATATGGATACTGATAGTCAAAGTAACATTATCAATGTAACAGTCAACTACGTATATGGATACTGATTCAATGACGTATAGACATTGATTTAAAAAGTTATTTGGATAATGATTCAATAACGTATATGGATACTGATTCAATACCGTATATAGATACTGATTCCATAACGTATGGATGCTGATTCAAAAACGTATATTATGGACACTGAATGCCCATGATTCAAATCGTTATTTTGATCATCACTGAATCGAATTGGAATTCCGATGCATTTTCGTTTCATCCCCCACCCCTTAAATGTAATCCCGTCCCAATGATCAGGAATATAAGATCCAGAACATTTTTTTAAAGTTTTGGGACCCGTTCATCCCTAATTTTGAAAGGTTAGATTATTCCCGACTTTCGGCCGAAATTCATGACTTTTTCACGACTTTTCCCGACCCTTCAAAATCCCCGACTTTTTCCCGATTTTCCCGGAATTCCCGACTGGTAGACACCCTGTAGTGACTAAGGCCGACATTCCTTAGACACAGCTAGGTTAATTAATAGCCCATACAGCTAATGGCAACTAAGGGACCTACAGTTTATAGTGGAATCCGAACCACATTATTGCCTTGGTCTATATACAAATTGGTCTAATTATCTGGATAGTACTGCGGATATTCGTAGTACTCACTCAAGCGGACGTTAATCCACACCAGGGAGTATCGCATCCACAGTGCATGCCTATAAATATCCACAATTCGTGACCTCCTAGTAGCTGAAGCTGGATTACAGGACGACGCCACCCGTCCCAGTCATATTGATTATTTCATTCGATAAACTTAGGCCTATAGCCTATCAATTTTGGGTAATGTTAGGGTGAAACCTAACCTAACTAACGGAATGAAATATTCAAAATATAGTCTAACTTATGTATTATCTTTCATTTGAATGAATAAAGGACATAAACTAAAGTGCAGCCGAATATTTTTACATAAACAAATTCTTAAAGTTGACACTGGGTCAATGGGAATAAGAGACAATCCTAATAGCCTAGGGATATGCCTATTCAAACATTTGCTACAATATTGTTTGATGATTCAGAATTAGCCTACGAATAAGCTGTATCTTAAGTTCTTGTTGGTGTCTTACTTTACCTTCTTGTTGGTGACTTACCTAAAGTGTCTGTTATCATGTTGATTAGCCTACATAACCTACCTATACAAATTATTTCACATTTTTTCCCTTAAACTATTGTTTGTAACACACGAGTCACCAATTTTCCTGTAAGCAAGGAAAGAAATAAAAAAGATAAATATTTACAATATAAAAGTTAGGTTAATAATAACTTAATGCTTAGTCAAAATGGCCAAATTGGCCAGCTTATCATTATTCATTGTCCGTCGGAATTCGGAATTAAACATTGCGACTCGTGAGTTGAGGAACTGAACGATGAATTAGAACAACTCCTTTTCAAGAGTAGCTCCGAAGAACGGGAGCTTGTCGATATACTGGGACTATTTCAGTGTCGACATAGTGAAACTATTTCATTGTCGACAATATGGGATGTCGACAATTTGTGGTGTCGATCATTTGCGACGTCGGTTATTTGGGATGTCGGTTAAGTGGGAATATTCTAGTGTCGACAAACTGGGAATAATTCAGTTTCGATCAATTTCTACGGTTGTCGACATTATGGAACCCACCCGTAGTGACAACGTTCGCCGCAAGAACTGCTAAGTTGAAAAAATTTAAATTATTTTTTTTTTTTTATTTTTAGTTATAACATTAACTTTTTAATTATAAAATATTGTTTTAAAATTATAAAATTAATTTTTAATTTTTAAAATTAAACTGTCATAACCTAACCTAACCAACCAAACTTGCTGATATGAAAAATTTGTTGACAAAAAGTTAGTGCTACCAGCGGGATTCGAACCCGGGACCTTCTGTACATCAATCCGAAACGCTACCAACTATGCCACGAACGCCGCTGAAATCACATCGCTTCGTTACGGTGGGTAATCGTGTTGCCTCAAGAGAAGACATTAGCCACTAGAGATATGACGTCACTACAGCTTTAGCCTTAGTCCCTCCCGTGTGCCCATTCCGGCAAGGGTATGTTCTACCACGAACCACGAAGCTCTTCCGACAGTAACACCACCCACCACCGGGCCATCCCCCGCCACCACGCCACCATGACATACGCTTCTGCTGTTAGTTAGTTGTCGTCTGTCAAAGAAACGTTTGTGTTCGCGGCATATTGGCATGTTGTTATGGATTTTTTCCCCCTAGGACGCTAGGCACGAGCCTGGGATTGTTTTTCACATTACTTCATGATAGACCTAGGGGTTGCGGCATTATCACTTAGATAAAATCCATTGGTGACTTGGCGGGGATCGAACCCGGGACCTCAGGGACTGAAGTCCCGCGCTGTAACCACTACGCCAGCTCGCTCCCCATATGTGGTGAGTGTGATGGGGTTTGAGTTTAGCGACAAGGAGCCAATGATTGATTCTGTTGAATGCCTTGGAATAGTCGAGGTAAATACAGTCGACTTGTAATGAAGTGGTAAAAGAAGACAAACAAATTCTTGGAGTAGCAAAAGGTTTGTGACAGTAGAACGTCCCCTAGTAAAGCCATGTTGTTCATCACAAATACGATTTTAAGTTGAAAAATGAGGTTATCCATTACCATACTTTCGAAAAGCTTTGCCAAGGAGGGTTGAATGACGATAGGACGATAGCTTAAAACATTTTATTTTGTACCTGACTTGAAGATCGGGACTGTGAAGCTTTTTTAAGGGAGGATGGAAACACTCCTGCTTGTAATAGCATCCTAAATAATATTGCAAGATGGGGGCAAGAACTGGCGCGCAAAATCTTAGTACGAGTGGGGGTATGTCAGGACCAGCTCCCTTTGAAGGATCAAATGAAGTAAGCTTGTCGTGAAAATGCTTGTAGCACCGACCACGCAACTTGAGATTGTCTGATTAGGCAAAAATAATCAAAGTCAGGTACAGTCACGTCTACACTCTTGTAGACTGAAGAAAATAAATTGGAGAACAGCTCACATTTTCCACTTGGAGTTGAAGAGTCCCTCTGATCAAAGTCTTGTTAAGGACCTATTGAAACCTGAATTTTGGCCCGAGGGAATTTTTGTAAAAGAGTTTGGAGAACGACGTTCAGGCAGCCAAAATAACGTTAAAA